TTTGTTTAGGGTGTTTTTCCATTTTTCGTCGAAAATCCCTCCTGTAGGGGGACAGGCCCGACTTAGGGACAGGGGGCCAGTGCGAGCGCGCCCTCTCCCCGACCGCCAGACAGGCGCGCGGGCCCTCTCCCCGGCCGAGCGGGCTCTCTCGGGCGTGGCCCAAGCCCTGGCAGGCGTGTTCTTGCTCGGCGTCTCGGCTCGGTGCGGAAGGGGCCCTCCTCCTCCTCCTCCTCCTCCTCCTCCTCCTCCTCCTCCTCCTCCTCCTCATCCTCCCTCATCCTCCTCCTCCTCCTCCTCCTCCTCCTCCACCTCCTCCTCCTCCTCGTCCTCCTCGTCCTCCTCCTCCTCCTCGGCCGAAGCGAACCGGAGGAGCCGAAGCGAGCCCTTAGTGGGCCCTGGAAACGACAGGGCCGTTTGTTTACTGGTTCCGTTTTGTCGTTTTTTGCCGGTTCCGACGCCGTTTTGTACAGGTTCTATCGCCGTTGTTTGACCGGTTCGGGCTCCGGCTCCAGTCCTGGAGCCGCTTCTTTGCCGTTTCCGGTCGCTGTTTTTTTGCCGCTTCCATTTTTAAAAGACATTTTTGTGGAAACGGTGAAAAAAACGGCCCTGTCGTTTCCGGGCCCACAAAGGGCATGTCCCCCTACAGGGGGCACACCCTAGGGGAATGAAAGGTGTCATAAGCATGGGAAAATCCGAGGGGAACATCCTAGGAGAATATCCTAGGGTATCCTAGGGGAATATCCCCTGAGATCCGACGCTGCAAAAAACATGTGACATCGGAAAACATCACGACTGGAGCCTCAGACCCTACCTTTCTGCGTCATTTTTCGAGCCGGATGGATCTGCGAGGGTCCTGGGGCCCGAGATTGAACGAAAACGCCAGGCGCGATAAAATTGCAACGCCAGGATCTCGGGGACCTAGGGTGAAATCAGAAGCCCGCCTACAGGGGGAACTATCCTTGGGGAAAGAAGGGTGTCATAAGCATGGGAATATCCTAGGGGAACATCCTAGGGGAATATCCTAGGGTATCCTAGAGTATCCTAAGGGAATATCCCCTGAGATCCGACGTTGCCAAAAAAATGCGACATCGGAAAACATCACGACTGGAGCCTCAGACCCTACCTTTCTGCGAAATGTTTCGTGCCGGATCGATCTGTGAGGGTCCCGGGGCCCGAAATTGAACGAAAACGCCAGGCGCGATAAAATTGCAACGCCAGGATCTCGGTGCCCTAGGGTGAAATCAGAAGCCCGCCTACAGGGGGAAATATCCTAGGGGAACGAAAGGTGTCATAAGCATGGGAATATCCTAGGGGAACATCCTAGGGGAATGTCCTAGGGTATCCTAGGGTATCCTAAGGGAATACCCCCTGAGATCCGACGTTGCAAAAAACATGCGACATCGGAAAACATCACGACTGGAGCCTCAGACCCTACCTTTCTGTGTAATTTTTCGGGCCGGATCGATCTGTGAGGGTCCGGGGGCCCGAGGTTGAACGAAAACGCCAGGCGCGAAAAAACTGCAAAGCCAGGATCTGTGGCCCTAGGGTGAAATCAAAAGCCCGCCTCCAAGTGGAAATATCCTGAATAACCCACAGGGTAAAAAATCAGCAACCCGCCTGCAGACGAGCCCCGACGCGGTGCTCGAGGCCGGCCCGCGCGGGAGGCCGGCCGGGCCCTCCTGCCGAGCAGACTTGGCTCCACAGGATGGAAGGAGGAGGAAGAGGAGGAGGAGGAGAAGCCGCTTTGCCCAAGACATGTCGAATCCACGCGTCCTCATGCGACTTCCAGTCGCGCCTGCTTCTGGCCACTTCCATCCAATCATACACCGTATCATAGAATCGGTGAACCGTGACTGGAGGGGCCGAGACCCCGGCAGAGGGAGGAGGCGGCGCGCTCGGTGCTGTCAGCTGCACAGGCGCTAGGGCCACGCCAATCGCGATACGGAGGCAGGCGCAGAAAGAAGCAGAGCGGCGGCCCGGGTACTGCACAGTCAAACAGTGCAGGCGTGCAGGCGGCCCTCCTCCTCCTCCTCCTCCACCCTCCTCCGCCTCCTGTGTGCGCTGTTGCCAGCCCCCCGACCTCCAGCTGAGGAGTCAGATCGTGCAAGGCCCCTTGTCCTCACGAGTGAGCTGTTCTGCCATCCCTCTCCAACGGAGTCGGACAGACAAACATGCTTAGTTACGTAAGCCACGCCGCCTCCAGCTTTGGGGCAGCACGTCAGGCAGAGCGAGCTAGCCGCCATCGTCTGTGGCCCCCCGGGCGCGCGTCAGCACGCAGCACTGTGGGGCCTGGAGGAGAAAATCAGGAGTGCGCGCAAGCCTTGCCTGGTGGGCGGAGCAGCTGAGCGGGCACGCAACGGTGGCGCCTGGGAGAAGCGAGGCGAGGGGATAGGCAACCAGGTGTAGAGGCGGAGGAGGGGCCGAGACCCCGGCAGAGGGAGGAGGCGGCGCGTTCGGTGCTGTCAGCTGCACAGGCGCTAGGGCCACGCCAATCGCGATACGGAGGCAGGCGCAGAAAGAAGCAGAGCGGCGGCCCGGGTACTGCACAGTCAAACAGTGCAGGCGTGCAGGCGGCCCTCCTCCTCCTCCTCCTCCACCCTCCTCCGCCTCCTGTGTGCGCTGTTGCCAGCCCCCCGACCTCCAGCTGAGGAGTCAGATCGTGCAAGGCCCCTTGTCCTCACGAGTGAGCTGTTCTGCCATCCCTCTCCAAGGGAGTCGGACAGACAAACATGCTTAGTTACGTAAGCCACGCCGCCTCCAGCTTTGGGGCAGCACGTCAGGCAGAGCGAGCTAGCCGCCATCGTCTGTGGCCCCCCGGGCGCGCGTCAGCACGCAGCACTGTGGGGCCTGGAGGAGAAAATCAGGAGTGCGCGCAAGCCTTGCCTAGGTGTAGAGGCGGAGGAGGGGCCGAGACCCCGGCAGAGGGAGGAGGCGGCGCGTTCGGTGCTGTCAGCTGCACAGGCGCTAGGGCCACGCCAATCGCGATACGGAGGCAGCAGAAATCAGGAGGAGGAGGTTGTTTGTCCAGCTGCGGCGGCGAGGGCGTCCCAGGGCGCGGAAAAGGGGGCGAAATATTTGGACAAGTCTCGACCCTCGAACCTTGACGGAAGGGGAGGACGTCTGCGGGAGGCCTGTGAGCCGTCGTGGAGCGTCGGAAAGCTGAAAAGGCGGGAAAGGCAAAATGTGTCCAAAACTGTCGTAAAATGCACGATTGTGGCCTCTGGGGGCTCTCCGGGGGGACCTCTTGGAGGCCTCTTGGAGCGTCTTGGGAGCCTCTTTGGCCGTCTTGGGCTTATCTTGGGCATCTTGGGGCCCTCTTGGCGCCCTCATGGGCCTCTTGGAGCCTGCTGGGCCTGTCGCGGAGCGCTCTTGGGGCACTCTTGGGCCGGACAAGGGCGCTCCCGGAGGCCCGATCCCCCCATGGGGGGTTGCGGTCCTGGCCAGGGAGCCCCCGGCCCTGTAGCCCGTATATATTATAATATATATATATATATATATATATATGTAATGTATATATATGTTTGTATGTATGTATGTATGTATGTATGTATGTATGTATGTATGCGTATATATGTATATATATACACATACATACATATACATATATACATACAAACATACATATACATATACATACATACATACATACATACATACATACATACATACGTACGTACGTACGTACGTACGTACGTACATACACACATACATATATACATACATACATATAGAGATGTGTGTATGTATATGTGTGCATGTATGGATGTATGTATGTATGTATGGATGTATGTATGTGTGCATGTATGTATGTATGTATGTATGCATGTATGTGTGTATATGTGTATGTATGTATGCACGCATGCATGCCTGCATGCATGCATATGTGTATGTATGTATGTATGCATATATGTATGTATGTACGTATGGGTGTATGTGTATGTGAGTATGCACCTATGAGTACATGCATGTTTACATGCATATATGCACGCAAACATGTATGTGTGTATGTGTATGTACGTGTGTGTATGCGAATGCGTGCATCTGTGTGCAGGTATGTAGATATGTATGTATGTCTGCATGTATGTATGCATGTATGTACGTGTGAACGCATGTATGTATGTATGTGTGTATGTGTGTACGTATGTATGTACGTATGTGTATACGTGTATATGTGTGCATGTATGTATGTATGTACGTATGTATGTATTGATGTATGTATGCGTATGTATGTGTGTAGTTATGGTTGCTTGTATGTATGAATGTATGTATGCACAACGTTGTGTATGTGAGTATGTATACGTATGTGTGTATGCATGATTGCAGATATGTATGTGTATGTGTGTATGTATGGATGGATGTACGTCAGTGAGAATAGTTGTTTGCATGTGTATGTCTGTTTGTGCGCATGTACGGATGAATGGATGGATGTATGGCTGGATGGATGGATGGATTTATGTGTGTATGTATTGGTAGATGGATGTATGTATGGATGAATTGATGGATGTGTGTATGTATGTATGCATGCATGCATGTATGTATGTATGTATGTACGCATGCATACATGTATGTATGTATGTATGTGTTTACGTAAAAATAAAGGTACCTAGTCGTGTGTGTATATGCATACATACATATATATACACACATATACATAAACATATACGCTAGAACCACGCGCGCACGCTTCGCGCGCTTAGGTTCTGGCGAGCTCTAGTCGTATTATACAATGAGGACATCGATTGTCGCACGGGTCGTGCCCTCAGGGAGCTCCACCTGCGGCCCCAGAGACAGACTTGGCTAGCACTCCCCCGCCCTTGTCGGCCCACCCCTCACAGGGACCGCGCCCCACAGGGAGCTCCACCTGCGTCCCCAGAGACAAGGTTCGCAGAGTGGCACGCCCTTCACGCGGAGCGCATCCTGCAAGAAGCTCTCCTCTCTGCGGCACACCTCCTGCGCACAGCCACGCGCGCAGGACCGGTGCGTCACTCCCGTGCGACCAATCAACCGAGCGACCAGCGGAGAACAACGTGGCAGCGGAACCCTCTGGCGCGCTCCCGAACGCAACCGATCAGCCAACCAGCCTAACCAGCCATCCTGACAGAAAAGAGAAACCACCTGCTGCTCCCCCAGCGCACGGCCGCAAAAATCACCCGCTGCCCTGCAACGCAGGGCCGTGAGAACCCGCCTGCTGCACTGCAGTGCGCGGCTGTGGTTGAATTGGTCTTCCTGGAACGTTGACCATTAGTGGTTTGAGTTGATCTCGGCCATCTTGACTTGCTCTTGACGCCCTCGCGTGGTTCGAACGGATGAAATCGCCACCGTGCCTGGGTTGTGAGTCAGAAGCATATTGGATGCTTGTGAGGGCTCTATTGGAAAACTTGCAGAGGGCCGCTTGGAAGCAATTTTGATGCCTCGTAGGTCACGACAGGGACCGTCTGCTGCCTCTTAGGGCTTCTTCTGGGCCTCCGGGAGGCTTCTTGGGGCGTCTCGAGGGTTTCTTGGGGGCCTTCTGGCAGTTCCGCGGGCCTCCTGGGGTCCTGAAAGCTTTCTGGGGAAACTCTGGGGACCCTCCTGGGCGCCTTTCGGGCGCATCTTGAAGACGTCTTAAAGCCGCCTCGGGAGCCTCTTGGGCCGTCTTGGGCCCAGGTTGGGACTCTCGCGGGCGGAATACCTTGAGGCTTGAAAATCACATCGGAAGCGAAAAAGCGAGAAAGCGAAAAACATCGGGGAACAAAAAAAAAACTACGGCGTTTTTTTCGATTTCGGGCCCTCGGGGGGCGTCCTCGCAAGCCTCCTGGGGGCTACAAGATAAACGCGTTGGGATCTTCTTGGGACACTAAAGGGGCTTCTGCGAATCTCTTGAAGCCTCTTCGGGTCGCCGGCCCCGTGGGGGGAGCCTCTAGAGGCCGACGCGGTCCCCTCAAGGCCTCAGAAGAGCTCCTGGACGCCGGGGGACAAAGAGGGCCATCAGAGGGGGGGGGCCCAGGAATGTGTTGAAGGGGCCCTGGGACACACAAATAAGTACACACAAATAACAGGATCCCAAATATTTTCCTATATTCCTGGGAATTGACGATTAATTGTGTCTGTGTTTTTCCCTCCTGATGTGTGCTGGCGCGGGCCCCCAGGCCCCCAGTATCCTGGTATATAATACGCTTTTACGCAGGCGGGGGGCGGTGGACATAGATGGGCCCCCGATCTTGGGGCCTCTTGAGGACCTCGTGGAGCCTCTTGTGCCCCGGACCCAAAGGGGGGTCCGAGGTTCCAGCTGTTGGACCCCCAGATCGTTCCCCCGGTAAATGTGTGTAGAGAGAGAGGGAGTGAGAGAGAGAGAGAGAGAGACACACAGAGACAAGCCCTGGCGGCCGAAGCGGGGGAAGGATGCCCTGCCTGAAACCACCAACCCGGTGATGGCAGCTCATGCCCGCCTGTCATCGCAGACGGTTCAAAGAGATGTGGAAAAATGGAGCACCCCTGCGCTTGATTCGGCCTGGGTGAAGCGAAGCTTTAGCAGGCGAGCGCTGCACCTGTGGAGTCCGTGTCGACTCCTGCTGTGGCAGCGTCCCGCGTCATGTGTAACGACAGCCCCTCTGGACGCCTGGGATTCCACGGCAAGGGCCCCGGGGGCGGCCAACCGGCGGGGCGGGGCGGCTGCCGATGGGCCCTGGGTGCGGGCCGGTGCCGCTGGCAGCCGCCCGGCGCCCAGCGCCTGGTCGGCGCGAGCCTCGCTGGCCGCCTCCTGCCGCGCTGAATCCTGTTCTTTGATGCGATTCCGGCAGGCTTCTCGCATGAAGAGGGCTCCCAGGCGAGCCCCCTCCAGGAAAGCTGAAGGTTACGCGCGCCGAAAGTTGCCTGCGCGCTCTTTCGGCCCAGTGCTGGGCGGGCAGGATCGGCGGGGGGCGGAGGGGGGCGGGAGGGAAGGGGAGGTGAGGGAGGGGAGGGGGGGAGGAGGCAAGTTAGGTGCGCTCGCGCCTCATTTGACGTCGTTTCCCTCCCTCCCATCTCTTCCCACGGCGCTGATGTTTCATGATCCGCGGACGCGTATCATAGCCGACCTGCGACTCCCACAGAAAGACCACTTCGTGGAATACGCAACCGGAAAAAAAAAGAAGAAATGCGTGGGAGGAGGAGGAGGAGGAGGTGGCGGGTGAGCAGGAGGATGAGCAGGAAAAAGGATGCGGGCGAAAAGCAGCAACAGCAGCAGCAGGACCTGAAGCGGCAACACAGGAAAGAAAAGAGGACCAGGGGAAGGCGGAGGAGGGGAAATGATGGGGGCGGCCACGATGGAGAAAAGCTCGGAGTTAGGAAAGTGGCCCTCGCTGGGGCGAGACGAACGGCAGCAGCAGGAACTGAAGTGGAAGGGGTGGGGGGAACAGGAGGACCAGGAGAAGGCGGTGAAGAGGAAATGAGGCGGGGACCACAATGAAGCTAGACTCGGATCCAGACAAATGGCCCGCGCTGGGGCGACAGTGCCACTCTGAACGACGGAAGCAAAGCGCCGATCCGAAAATGAGGCCCAAGCTGCAGCGGGAGCACCATTATGAATTACCAGAGAAAATCGGACATGCAGCAAAACATGGGAAACAGCAGTGTTTGAAATCCTGGGCGCGAATAAAACAGGACGCGGAGGGGGGCGGGCGACTGTTTTACGTTATTCGGGGAGAAGAGAAGTGGAAGGATTCATATTGTGTAAGTGCGGAGGGGGGTTGGGGGAGGGAGGGGAAGGCAAGCTAGGTGCGCAAGCGTCTTATTCGATGTCCTACCCCTCCCTCCGATCCCTTACCATGGCGTAGATATCCTCTCTATTCGCGCAGTCGGGTGTCGCAGCACGGCATAGCATTATATGGCAGAAGATGGCGTTTAAGATCAACGCGTAAAATGACATAGCATGGAGTGGCACTGCGAAGTGAAGCATTGCATATCATAGCATTGCAGCTAAAGGCATGGCATCGCACAGCGGAACACACCATAGCATTGCATTGCATGCCATGCTCAGGAGCACGATTCGGCCAGCACTGCAGCGGGAGCGTGATTGGAAACGAGCGGAAGCGCGGAAATGAGGCCAGTGCTGCAGCGGGAGCACGTGTTGGAACGAGCGGAAACCCGAAAATGAGACCAGCGCTGTAGCGGGAGCAACATTTTGAAGGACCAGAAAGAAACGGCTGTGCAAAAAAACATATGAAAGACCAACTCGCCGGAATCCTGTGTAAAAAAACAATACGCGGAGGGGGGCCGAACATCTTCCGGACAGAGTCAGGGGAGAGAGGAGAGTAGTATGGGGAAGGGGGGGAAGGGGAGGGGGGGAAGAGGGGGAGAGGGGAGGGGAGGTGGGGGGAGAAAGGACCCTCGACCTCCACCTCCCTCACCTTTCGGACGGCAGATGCCGCACAGCGGCCGCCGCCAGCACGGCCGCAGTGGCGGCCGCCAGTCGAGGCCGCAGCGGCGGTCTCGGCGGTCGCCGCGGCCGCTCCGCGGCGGCACCTGCTGCGCGGAAGGTTCGGAGGGTGGAGGTCGAGGGGAGGGAGGAGGGGAGGGAGGCGGGGGCAAAATGCCGGGCAAATCGGCCTGCCAGACTCTCAACAAAGCCATGTTCCTCCCGGGCCCAGCGCCAGCGCCGCGCGGCCCCTCGCCGCAGCCACGGGCCCGGGCGCCGCCTCGGCGGCGGCGGCCTGTCGGACACGCGCAGGAGCGACCCCGGCGCAGCGGTGGCCCCCTGGGCGGCTCGAAGGAGGAGACCCCGAGGGACGGGGCCCGAGGGACGAGTTGCCTCAAACAGTGTGAATCCAGCCTGAAATCCCTTTCTGACATTGCGGCCCCGTCCCTCAGGGCCCCAAACCCGAAGCCCGCTTCACCGATCGTTGACCGCGACGCGGCAGCAGCGGCCTGAGCGCGTGGGCCCCCCTCCTCCGCGCCCCCCGAAAGCCGCGCACCGAGGGTCGCTCTCGCAGAGGGGTCACTCTTGCGTGCAGTCGAGCCTGCGCTGGATCGTGCGGCGCCTTGCGGTCAATGACGACATCCTCGACCTGGAGCTGGAACGGCTGCGCGATGAGTGTCGCCGCCAGGCCCCTCTGCCCGTTTGCCTCGCTTTGGCTCCAAAGCCGCAGAAGGGCACCAAGGGCATCGTCGGTGAGCTCTTGCACCTTCCCCTGCGGCTCCCCTGCCTTGCCGCCCGCACACGCCGCCTGTGCGGGTTCCTGCCAGCCCGCCGGCCCAGGGGGCTCAGCAGCCTCGTCGGTGCACGAGGAGTCGGAGCCTGCGCGGGTCTCGTCAACCGGGGCGGCGCCTGGTCCACGCCGAACCCATGGCGGCATGCCCGGGGGCGCCACGAGGCCAGGCGGGGGCCCAAAGCCCTCTGGAAGCTCGAGGATGGCCCCGCTCGTCCGGATCACTCCGCCCCGCGCCCCGAGCTCCACTGGCATCGGGCTGCCCTCCTCCGTGCGGCTGCCGCCCGATCCGCAGCACAAGCTGGGATACCCCTGCTGCCTGGCGTCGACAGCGGGCGGGCTCCGCGGCTCCTGCGCGGCCTGGATGCGCTCCTCCTCGAGGTGTTCCCTGGTGCCGCCCGCTGGCGCCGCCTGTGCGGGAAATAAGGTGTTATTGCGGCCCGTTGGTTGCTTCTGCGGCCCGGTGGGTGTTAGTATGGCCAGGGGTCCTCCGGAGTGAATTAATTATCAGATACGGTGAAGGGGGGGGCTTCAAAAAGGCTCCGCCCCCCCCCCCCCCTTCACCGAAGAGCCTCTCGGAAGAGCCTCTGGTGCTCTCCGAAGAGCCCCTTGAAGTCGCCGAAGACCTTCTTGCAGCCGCCTAAGAGCCTCTTGGGCTCTCCGAAGAGCCTCGTGGGGCCTCCGAAGGCCCTCCTGGGGCATCCGAAGCGCTTCTTGGGCTCTCCGAAGAGCCTCTTAGGCTCTCCGAACTACTACCACTACTACTATTACTACTACTACTACTACTACTACTACTACTACTACTACTACTACTACTACTACTACTACTACTACTACTACTACTACTACTACTACTACTACTACTACTACTACTACTACTCTACTACTACTGATAAAATTACTACTACCACTACTACTACGACGACTACTACTACGACTACTATCACTACGACTACGACTACGACTACGACTACTACTACAACGACAACTACGACGACTACTACTACTACGACTACTACTACTACTACGACGACTACTACTACTACTACTATTATTACGACTACTATGATTACGACTACGACTACTACTACTACTACTACTACTACTACTACCACTACTACTACTACGACTACTACTACCACTACTACTACTACTGCTACTACTACTACTACTACAACTACTATTACTACGACTACTAGCACTAATAATACTACTATTTCTTCTACTACTACTACTAATATAATACTACTACTACCACTGCTACTACTACTACTACTACTACTACTACTACTACTACGAGTACGATTACTACTACTACTACTACTACTACTACTGCTACTACTACTACTACTACTACTACTACTACTACTACTACTACTACTACTATACTACGACTGTTACTAATACTACTACTATTATTATTACTACTACTACTAGCCCTACTACTAACTACTACTACTCAAAAGCACGACTACTACTACTACTACTACTACTACTACTACTACTACTACTTCTACTACTACTACTACTAATACTACGTTCAAGTACTACTAACACTACTACTACTACTATTACTACTACTACTACTACGACTACGACTACGACTACGAGTACGACTACTACTACTACTACTACTACTACTACTACTACTACTACTACTACTACTACTACTACTACTACTCGTCGTCCCTAGCGCCCAAGGGCTAGCACTCCCTAGCGCCAGTACTTCGTAGGGCTAGCACTCCCTAGCGCCAGTACTTCCTGGCACTCCCTCGGAGTAGCACTTCCTAGGACTAGTGTTCCCTAGGGCCGGTACTCCGTAGTGCGAGTACTCCCTAGGACGAGTACTCCCATGGACGAGTACGCCCTAGGGGTAGTAATTCCTAGGACTGGTACTCCCTGGGGCTAGCACTCCCTGCAGCTAGTACGTCGTAGGACTAGCACTCCCTATGAATGATATTACCTAACACCAGCACTACAGCACCATAGTACTACAACACTACAGCACCACTACCACAATACCAGTACCACAACACCACAACACCGCTACCACAACACCACAACACCGCTACCACAATACCACAACCACAAAACCACAACACCGCTACCACAACACCACTATCACAGCATCACTGCCACTACCACAACACTACTACCTACTAACTACTCAACAACACTACCAACACCACACCACTAGCACAACACTACCAACACCACACCACTAACACAGCACACCAATACCAACACCACACCACTAACACAGCATACAGCACAACCAGCCTCTACCAGCACCACACCATTAACACAACATTACCAACACCACAACAATAACACAGTACAGCGACCACCACACCACTAACACAGCACTACTACCACGTTGGTTCCAGGTGGGAGTTACTGTGGCCACTTTTGCCTGCGCGGGAGTGCATTCCCTTAAGGGTTGCGAATATTTCCAGATCTAACATGAGAGACCTTCACATATTACTTTTCATTGAGCGGCCTGCGCGGGCCACAGTAACCCCCATCCCGCCGCGCGACGGGCCACACTAACACCCAACGGGCCACATTAACACCCAACGGGCCACAGCAACAACTGGTCGCGCCTCTGCGGGCTCCTGCCGGCCCGCCGGCCCAGGGGGCTCAGCAGCCTCGTCGGTGCACGAGGCGTCGGGGCCTCCGCGGGTCTCGTCAACCGGGGCGGCGCCTGGTCCATGCCGAACCCATGGCGGCGTGCGCGGGGACGCCGCGAGGCCAGGCGGGGGCCAAAAGCCCTCTGGAAGCTCGAAGATGGCCCCGCTCGTCTGGATCACTCCGCCCCGCGCCCTGGGTTCCACTGGCAGCGGGTTGCCTTCCTCCGTGCTGCTGCCGTCCGATCCGCAGCACGAGCTGGGACACCCCTGCTGCCTGGCGTCGACAGCGGGCGGGCTCCGCGGCTCCTGCGCGGCCTGGATGCGCTCCTCCTCGAGGTGTTCCCTGGTGCCGCCCGCTGGTGCCGCCTGCGCGGGCCCCTGCCAGCCCGCCGGCCCAGGGGGCTCAGCAGCCTCGTCGGTGCACGAGGAGTCGGAGCCTGCGCGGGGCAATGGCGGCATGCCCGGGGGCGCCGCGAGGCCAGGCTGGGGCCGGAAGCCCCCGGGAAGCTCGATGATGGTGCTCGCCCTGTGCTCGAGTAAACGCCTCAACGCCGCGGTAAGCTCCACCCGCGAACATGGCGCATCGACGGGGCCGCGCTCCTCAGAGCAGGCAGTTCCAGCGGAGCTGAAGAACGCATCTCCTGCTTCGAACGCCTCGCCCTTGGCCGCCGCTTTCTCGCTCAGCTCCGCCCGCGAGCGTGGCTCATCGACGGGGCCGTGCTCCCGAGAGCAGTCAGTGTCAGCGGGCCCGGGAGGCGCAGCCACGGCTGCCGCTTCTGCTCGCCTTCGCCGCTCGAGCCACCGCCTCGCCAGGGGCGCATCCGCGGCTGCCGCTTCGAGCGCCTCGTCCTCGGCCACCCGCTTCTCGCCGTCGCCGCTGCTGCTCTCGGCCGCCTTGCCAGCCAGCCTCTCGCACGGCTCATCGCAGGGCTCATCGCATGGCCTCGTGCTGACCTCCAGCTTCACTGTTCGGCCTGACGCAGCTGACCTCCAGCGATCGCAGGGCTCATCGCCTCGGCCTCGTGCTGACCTCGGCCGACGCTGAGGCCGACCCTCCAGCTTCACTGTTCGGCCTGATCTGGCGAGGGACCGAGGGCCCACTGACGAGCTGATGGGCACTGGTCGATCGCATCCTGTGCGCTTCTCTTCGACCGGATTCGCCCTCCCCGTGGAGGATGCGATCCTGGCGCCAGGCCGGTACCATCTCAGGAGGCCGCTGTGGGCCACTTCGCCGATCACGCAGTAGAGCGACTTCCCGAATCCCCAGCACATCTTGCCAGAGTCAGGCGTCAGAAGGAACGTCTTAGGACAACCATCCTCTGTCCTAAAAGTGCACGTCCAACGCTGGGCTGCGTCTGGGCGATGTGGCCTCCCGACCGGCACACGTCGTGCTCCTGTAGTCCTGCATCTGATGTGATACGTCTGGCCCGTGTCGTCTCTCCACTCGCGGCATAAGTGAGATCCGAAACCGGCGCCATGCTCGTCGCACGTGGCCGTACTCTTGGACGCAGCAGTCCAGGCGTGCTCTGCCGCGCGTTGGCGCAGAGCTGTCTGCCAAGGCATGCTTATCGTGGACATGCCTCTCGCAGTCTGGTCAAGAAGCGCCCAGTGGCGAAAGGTACTTTACGCGCCGTACAGGAATGCAATTCTTGAGCTCAAAAAGGTATGTGTCGCGTCCCCGTCGAATTTAGACGGGGCCCTGATAGCTTACCGACCGATCGTCCACGGTGGGCCCAAGGCGTCCCGGTCTAGGAAAGCAACAAGAAAGTACGCGTCCGACCACGCACATGAATATGCCCCCAATGTCAGAGGCCGTCCTCATGTCACGAGCGCTCGACCTCGCTCGGGAGCCCCCGAGCGAAGTGAACCCCACCCTCCCCCTCAGAAATCGTGGGGGTGGAGGGGTAGGGTTCGCACGCGGCCCCCCTGCCAGTGTGGTCCTTTTCTCGGCGTCTTGTGTGCACTCTCGAGTAACCCAAGTCAACGACGACCGAATCGGAAACTCTGACCGCATCGGAAGGTGCACCGGATCGGACTGCATCGGCACGGATTCGACATCGAATCGGTTCGGCTGTGCCAAAATGCACATCAACGCCATGCAAGCATCGGGCCGCACCGGACCGTCGGGATATCGGAATCGAATCGGATCGGGCCAGCCTGAATCGATATTTCACTGCATCTACCTTGCAGAAGTGCTGCAGCGGATTTTTGCGCGGATCTCTGTCCAAACAACACCCCGAAGCGGCGAGCAAAAAACAGTGAATTTCACGTGGATTTGTGTTGTAGTCTTCATTCCTGGACAAACAACTCCTCACGAAATTCACTTCGAAATCCGGAACGAAATTCTCCAGGACAATCCGGGCCCATCCCATTGTTTTCCGAACGAAATCCGCTCTGCGATGTTGGCGCCATGACATATCGAATCGGATCGTCCAGACCGAAACAGACCCTGACTTCAGAGAGACCCAAGAAATTCACACATCACTGTCACTGGACGGCCCAATGCGGCTCCGCGACTCGAAGATCCTCAGAACGAGTGCGAGCTCCAACCGTGTATTAGCGCCGACGTGTGCCTGTCCAACGAGGCCCTTCATCGCGACGCAAGCGTCGCCATGAGGACCGACACGGGCTGGGTGCTGTCGGTGAAGCTAAAACGGGGCATACGTGCACCGGGGCTTACACGTCACGAGCATCACCAGAGCCCTGCAAACGAGGACGCTGATAAACCAGGACGTGGGCACGCCCGAGAAAGCGACAGCCGTGGGTCGAACCCCTTGTCCATGCTTCGTTCTTTCTCTCACGCCAATCTGGCATGGTCTTGGTTTCCGGGGCCCTGAGATCATCGAAAGAAGGCGGGTCCGGGCGGCCTCGAGGCGACACCATCCCGAACGCGATTCGATGTTGCGCTGGCACGGTGGCAGGGGTTACGCAAGCATCCAGACACGAGAGCATGCCCGAGTAGTGAGAGGAAATAAGAGGAGCATGACAAAATTAAGAAATAATCCCGAAACAAGGCAAGCTGGGCAATTCGACGTGCAATGGCCAAGCCAACAAAGTCTATTGCCAGAGCGGAGACAACAATCATGCCAGCGCGTCGACTCCAAACAATACCCCCTATTCGCCCAGGGCGCCGATCGAAAGACAGCAACCACAAGGACAGGAATAAATTAGCCTGACGAGGGACCCAACCATATACAGGTGTGAGTACCGCAATAGTGATTCACTTTTTCGGTGGCGATCCCTATGAGGCAACGAACCGTGCTAGGGGTGTGCCGACATGAGTGGCGTGGTACACAACGCGAACGAAAACGATTGATCTGAGTACGTAGGGAGACTGAGCGCGGGTGAATCTGCGCGCGTGCGTCTGACTGTGAATGAATCTGCGTGCGAACGAGTCTACGTGCATGAATGCGAATATGACAAAGCGTGGCGCAATTGTGTATGAATGTCAATAGTTTGACAATGTCTGCCTCTGAGTACTCGTGACGCTGGGCGTGGCCGCCGCAAGGAGCTTCCCCGGGACTCCCCGACGGCATCGCCCGCGCGCCGCGACGCCAATGTCGGCGCGCCCACCGGCGAGGATCGCGCCCGCTTCCTCCCCTTCCTTTACTCCCTCTTTGCCCGCGCACTCAAAAGTCCAAGGTTGCGGGCGCAGCGCAGCGCGGAGTCCCCGCGACGCGCGCAGGTCGCCCCGGAGGGGTCCCAGCGACGCGCGCGGGTCGTCCACTGCGCGGAGCAAAAAGAGCTAGCTGGCTGGCTGATAGCGGGCAAGGCTCTTGCCGCTGGGCAGAGAGACGACGGGACGCATGCGGGCACACCCACTGGGACCTTCGGTGGAGCTCCCTATGGGGCCACGAACGTGTGAGGGGTGTGCCGAAATGGGTGTGCGGGACGCATGCGGGCACACCCACTGGGACCTTCGGTGGAGCTCCCTATGGGGCCACGAAACGTGTGAGGGGTGTGCCAAAATGAGTGTGCGGGACGCATGCGGGCACACCCACTGGGACCTTCGGTGGAGCTCCCTATGGGGCCACGAAACGTGTGAAATGGGGTGTGCCGAAATGGGTGTGCGGGCGGGACGCATGCGGGCACAACTGGGGCCACGGTGTCCTGTGTGAGGGGGCGAAACGTGTGAGGGGTGTGCCGAAATGGGTGTGCGGGACGCATGCGGGCGTGGGGCCTTCGGTGGAGCTCCCTATGGGGCCACGAAACGTGTGAGGGGTGTGCCGAAATGGGTGTGCGGGACGCATGCGGGCACACCCACTGGGACCTTCGGTGGAGCTCCCTATGGGGCCACGAAACGTGTGAGGGGTGTGCCGAAATGGGTGTGCGGGACGCATGCGGGCACACCCACTGGGACCTTCGGTGGAGCTCCCTATGGGGCCACGAAACGTGTGAGGGGTGTGCCGAAATGGGTGTGCGGGACGCATGCGGGCACACCCACTGGGACCTTCGGTGGAGCTCCCTATGGGGCCACGAAACGTGTGAGGGTGTGCCGAAATGGGTGTGCGGGACGCATGCGGGCACACCCACTGGGACCTTCGGTGGAGCTCCCTATGGGGCCACGAAACGTGTGAGGGGTGTGCCGAAATGGTGTGCGGGACGCATGCGGGCACACCCACTGGGACCTTCGGTGGAGCTCCCTATGGGGCCACGAAACGTGTGAGGGGTGTGCCGAAATGGGTGTGCGGGACGCATGCGGGCACACCCACTGGGACCTTCGGTGGAGCTCCCTATGGGGCCACGAAACGTGTGAGGGGTGTGCCGAAATGGGTGATGACGATGATGATGAAGATGGGAGGAGGGAGGGGGCAGCGGGAAGGAAGGAAGGAAGGAGAACGCGGGGCACCGTCACTTCAAAACGAGGACCCAACACCACAGGATGGTTGGGAAAAACTGCATAAACAGAAACTTTCGGAGATCCGCGCGGATCTCTTGGATCTGCGCTGGAGCCCCCCGGCGGCGAGTCCGAAGGGTGCGGTTTGCGAGGGCTGTAGTTTGCAACCGGCACCCCAGGGGGGCACCCGGGGGGGCGGGCGAGGACCTCGCGTGTTCCGCCGCGCCCCGAGGAGGCCCGACGAGGACAGTGCCGTGCCCCCGCAGGCCCCAGCGGCGCCGATCCCAAACCACAGCCTGGCGAAGCCACACCTGTCGTTTGGCGGCGCGCACAGTGTGGCGGGGGCAGGGGGGAAACCCTCTTGGAAGGAGTCTGCTTCTCAGACAGCGCCCGCCTTACATCTACAGGTAAGGCCAGCGCCATCTAAAAAGGAGAGGTGCTTCTAAGAAACCTTCTCCACTCCCCCACGTTCCCTCTGCGAGTGGCCGATTTGTACAGTCAGCCCGTGTCATGAGAATGGGCGGCAAGGATGCAAGGACCTTGGAAGGCCATGTGAACGGTTTTCGAACAAGACTGGCCAGCGAAAGTCGCCAAGGATGGGCCGAGGAAGCAAGGATGCAAGCGTACCTTTGGGAAGGTTGCCCATCCCTACTGCGCGGGTTGACTGTGGCCGCCGAGACCGCTCCCTGCACGCATCCTCAGGTGCACCCGCGCGCAGGGCCCCGACCAGCGTTAGGTCGGGCCTGCCCCACTACAGGCGGATCTTGGGCGAAATTAGCCAGACGAAGGACCCAACCATATGCAGGTGTGAGTACCGCATTTGTGATTCCCTTTTTCGGTGGTGATCCCTATGGGGCAACGAACCGCGCTAGTGGTGTGCCGAAATGAATGGCGTGGTACACAACGCGAACGAAAACGATTGATCTGAGTACGTAGAGAGACTGAGCGCGGGTGAATCTGAGCGCGAGTGCGTCTGACTGTGAATGAATCTGCGTGCGAGCGAGTGTACGTGCATGAATGCGAGTATGCCAACGCATGGTGCAATTGTATATGAATGTTAATAGTTTGTGAATGACTGCCTCTGAATACTCGTGACTCTGGGCGTGGCCGCCGCAAGGAGTTTCCCCGGGACTCCCCGACGGCATCGCCCGCGCGCCGCGACGCCACCGCGAGGATCGCGCCCGCTTCCTCCCCTTCTTTTACTCCCTCTTTGCCCGCGCACTCAAAAGTCCAAAGCTGCGGGCGCACCGCAGCGCGGAGTCCCAGCGACGCGCGCAGGTCGCCCCGGAGGGGTCCCAGCGACGCGGGCGGTTCGTCCGCTGCGCGCAGCAAAGAGAGCTAGCTGGCTGGCTGATAGCGGGCAAGGCTCTTGCCGCTGGGCAGGGCGACGACGGGCGAGGGAGGCGCGGAACTCCGACGGCCTCCGACGGAGGTGTATTGGGTGGGGGAGACGCGTGCGGACTGCGCCACGGGGACCTTC